GAAGCTCTTTCCAAAGCCAGAGGCAGCAGGAAAGTTAATCCTTTTTCCTCACTGCTTGGCTCCGGTTTTTCTCCAGCAAGCCAGTCTGGATCTTTCCAGAGCAAAGATTTGGTCCTCTAGATTCCCAAACCCAGGCCAGAAACCAGTAACAAAGATGTGCCCAAGCCCCAGTGTAGTGCTTTGTTGTTGAGTCCTCTTTGACCTGGTGACTGTTAGGGAAAAAGACAGCTTTAGATGGGTGACTGCTGTAAATCTTAGCACGTGCTGCTACAGAAGCTATGAAGTCAGATATCCTCTGACCTGTGCATTGTACTTACGTGCACAGAGATGTCATGTGTAAATTAATGAACAAATGACTTCAAACTGAAAGCAGGATGGGAAGGATTGTCAGGAAGGAACACCATAAATTTTCAGCATGACTTGTATGAAAGTGATGAGAAAATGGTTTGCATTTCTTTGTGTAATGGGTAATTAATGGTTTGGAATAAAATGCATAGAGGTTAATGGCATCCTTTTTTCCCCTTGATGCAAGTTGGAGAGAAGTGAAATTGTGGCATGGATGACCTTGCATTAAGTAGATTGGCACTCACTGGATACAGCAGAGACATTTATGAGACCTTCTCTGACAATGTGAAATGTTTTCTTTCAGGTATACTTTGGAAAAAAATTGCTTAGAAAGGAATTATCATATTTACTCTATGTTACTGCATTTTAAATGTAAAAATCTAATTTGGGTGGGGAAAAAAAGTGTGAGATATTTCTGTATAGCTTTTCTGAAGCCATTTTATTTTTTCCAGATTTAATTGTGGGTGCATTTGGAGCTGGAAAAGCAGTTGTTTACAGGTATGTGGTAAATACAATGGATTTTATATTTTACAGCCTCAGCGGGAGACCTGCAAATAAACAAATTTCACATTCTCATGTTTCCCTGTTGCAATGTGTCAAAGATGGTCATTAGAGATTATAAACTAAACATCTTGTGAGAATAAATGCTTTTTTCCCATGCTCAAAACTTGAAATTTTCGATGAAAATTTTCATGCTTATCTTGGTTCAAGAAGCTTCTGGAATGTTTGAGTTGATGAAAATTTTCATGCTTATCTCAGTTCAAGAAGCTTCTGGAATGTTTGAGTCTTCAGTTAATTTTAAATAAGAAATGTAAAAGGCATAGCATTGAAAATTAATATCTTTCCTGGGCCAGTGGTGCTAGTAAGGATTTTTAAAGTGACTCTGATCCTTCAGTCATCATGTATATTAAGATGTGAACCATTTATTGAAAATAAAGTGCTACTTTTAGCCTCAGTTTTAAAAAAATTCACGAGATCCCATTTTAAAAAACAAAATGTTGTTGCCGACTATGGAGTTTCACTAAATACATTTTTTAATTTGAAGCATAATTTAAAAGTACCAAATACTTAAAACAACAATCTGCTACTGCTCCCTTAGTCCAGTCATGCTTTGCATTTAAATATTCACCATCCATTGCTACAACAATGTAGTCATATTTCTTGATTCCTGTCTGTCTTCTTCTTGTCTGTATTCCCAACAGTACCTGACTGAGAGAAAAATATGTTTGACTTCCCAGCTCAGTGTTTGTGAAAGCATAAGAATTTTGTAAAACAGAAATGTTAGCTCATTTCAGCTAACACTGTAGGTGCAGTGAGTAGACCTGATTTTCTGACTGCCCAATGAAAGAATCATGCAAATCCTTTACAGTGCCATGGATGACCTCACAGGATGTGAAATGTTGGAGAATTAGATCCACTGGGTATTCTTGATGACAATAAAATGTGTTTGATTTAGTTTAAGAAAGTGAGTAGCAGGAGGCCATTTCCTGGCGAGAGCATTTCAAATATATAATTTGTCCTTCTGGCGAAATAGAATTTTAGTAACTGAAATTTGCTAGAAAAAAGTGTTTCCCTGTTGCACAAATATGAAGAAAGTAATGTTATTTTAAAATGTCTTACTGAAGGATTATAAAGAAGAAATCATAAAATCTCAGATGTGGATTATTGTATGAAGAATGTAGTTTTGTACTAAACTGGATTAGCCAGAATTATATAAATTACTGGAAATAGTACTGCTGTCTTAAAAAAACAGAATCTAGACCCTTCCCTGTTTCCATTTGTCTTCTAAATTGGTCTCAGTTATGGATTATCTCAGTTATTAAGAGATTCAGAGAAACAGTTCCCATCACTACAACTATATATTCATGTACTCAGCAGAATTTACAGATACCTGGTTTACAAAGTCAATTGTCTCAAGAAATGTCAGGCAGAGTTTGCTTCATTATCAGTGCAAGATATTCTACATCAGCTTCTGCTTTAACCAAATTATGTTTATTTTTTTATAGAATTTTCAACAGAGCTAGCAAATCTGAATATGTCACTGCAAATCTGCAATGACAAAGTAATGGCCAAAGGACTGCTGTAAATCCCAGAAAAACAGACTCTGTCCCTTTGTGAAAACCCAGTGTAAGGAAATGTGTCTGATGTGCCTTAATCCTGGGACACATCTATTGGTTAGCTATAGGATACTGTATCAGTGATACTGTCAATCTGTGATTTTTTTTTTTTTAGAGCTGTCAAAATCTCCTAATAGGAGGTGTCACAGTTTCTGACCACAAAAAAAAGAGTTCTTTTGGGTAGGAGCAGCATTATAAAAGTGTGTTCTTCCAAGTAACCCTAACCCTACAATCTCTGGCTTCTTTGTGGCCACCTCAGTTAAGTGTACTTGCAACGTAGGTGGTAATGTGCTCCTTCTGTATGCAGTGACCCTTATTTCTGTCCCCCAGAGCCAGACCTGTTGTGACAGTGAATGCTCATCTTATTCTGAATCCCATGATTGTGAATCCAGACAATAAAACTTGTCAGCTCCCTGGCTCTCAGCTTTTGGTGGCATGGTAAGTTCATGATTAGTTAAAAAACATCCACATCCTCTTTCTCAAGTAACTTCTTATTCCTAACTTTTATTGTAGTTTTTTGTTGAACATGTTAAAAGTTTGAAAAAAATGTTCAGACATGCTCTGAAGGCAACAAAAAACCTATATAGAGCAGAGTTCTTTTTGATGTCTTCCAACACTTCACACACTCTCAAACTGAAGTAGGTTAGAAGTTGAGTCCTTTTATACACTGTGTCTCCTTCTAGAAGTTGAGTCCTTTTATACACTATGTCTCCTTCTGCATAGGAGGATGCTGAGTGTCTCCTAGGGTCAAGCTGCAAAATTATATGCAATGTTTGGATGAATGAAACGTGAAACAGCTAAAACAGACAAAACACATAAACATCGATTTGTTAAAACTTACATCTTTGTTGCGAAAAATGTAACAGTGAAAGTGATGCAGATCTGGTGGGCCCAACATTTTCTGTTAGAGAAAGAGAAATCTCAGTCCTTTGTGGAAGAGAGAAGATATCTGGCTGGCCATCCTGAGAGAAGTTCACAGGATGTTGTTTCTGGCTGTCTTTGGTCAGAGGTAAGTTTTCCTTAGTGCATTGCAGGGGACAATGTTTCATGTATCTTTAAAAGAGAAACTCTTCACCACTGTAGCATTTAACTTTAAAAAGAAAAAGCACATTAAAAAAATTGAAGCTAATTAAAACAATTTAAGATCAATTGCAAGCATAAAATGCTTGCAGGACAGTTGGAGGCTATCTAATAGCACATAATACCACATAAAGGCACGTTTACTGCACTAGAAAAAAAAAGTCACTTAGAAAGGACCCCAGGAACAGTTGATAAAAGAGGCTATTACAAATACATGATACTGTTTAAAAGTGCAGATCATAACAAATGAGGAAACTAAAAACAAAACAGAGCATAAACACGTGCAAGTTGAATATAAAATACTAGTAAGTCCTGCCAGAGAGTCTGTGAGGAATAGATTTCTAAGATATAAACCATTAGAAACAGAGAGCCTGCCAGGACGTGGGCTGGATGAAAATAGTATTAAGGTGTAAAGGAGAACGCCAGAAGATAAGGTGACTGCAGAAATTTTTCACTACTTTTAAACCAGAGGTGGTCAGAGGGATTCCTCACACTGGAAACATTCTTTATGAGAGATGAGTTCTGAAAATCTAAATCTAAAAAATTAGACCACTAAATATAATATACATATAATATATATAAACCTTTTGTTTTAATAGTTAATGACTTTCAAATATTGACACTTGACTGAAGCAAGTTCGTTGATCCAAATTATGTTTTTTCATAACTTCAGGTTTTAAGACTTTTAAAAAATGCTCGATGTCATAATAAAAAATATTTTGGAACCATAACATTTACACATTCACCACTCTACTGGAAGAAAAAAAATGTGGTCTTTTTGCACAAGAGAAATAAATAAATACATCTCTGTTA